ATATAAGAATAACCCCCAAACCTTTAATCCTGTTTACCCTCATCAGATTTAAAATTCCTTATCTTTTTATTCCCACCAATGGATTAGCTGTTTTTCTTTATTTCATTCTTTCTTTTTTTACAGAGATTTTTACTATCGGATATGTGCGCTCACCAGAGAGACAGAGCGAGACAGAGGGGCAGATCTCTTCTTGGGATCTTGGGCACACACGCACACGTGCCTGGCATGAGTTTCAAGCCATCGGCTCAGAGACTCGAACCGTAGTCGACCATGTGGGAGACCAGCAATGTAACCATCCCACCATCTGCTGCTCCCCAGGCTAGCTCTTTTTCCAAACCCTTTTTATCTATTCCCCTTGCTTCTATCATTTCATAATTGCTTTGGTTTTCCTTGTATGACAGCAATACTCTCGCCTTTGTCCTCCTGCCCCAGTCTGATTTCTAAGCTGTCCTATCAGCAGTATATTCGTATTTGTACAATGAAGTGCTGATCGTATTAGAGCCCTGTTACAATTCTCCACTCTTTCTCTCTCCGTTGCTTACAGAATGAAAATCTTCATTCCTCTGCCCCGTGTACAAAACCTCTGTGATGTGGCCTGGCTATGCACTGACTTTATGCCTTCACAATAGGTCCTGATGGGGCTGTGTATTGTTCTCTTCCTCACCTTGACACATGCTGCCAGAAATGGCCTTATCCTTCCTTCCATGGTATCTTCCAGTAAACCTCTACTAATCCTTTAAGACTCAACTTTCTCAGAAACCTCCCTTGATCATGTAAGCAGATCCAGGGCTTTCTTCCTCTGAGCACATGGTGACTTGGCTCTCTCTCCATTCAGCACTAATTGCATTGTTTTCATGATTTGGTAGATGTCCATCTCACCCACCAGTATTTGGGTCCCTTAAGGATAAGGCCATGTTTTATTCATCTTTGCTTGTCATATAGCAGGTAGTTAACACAGGTCTGTATAATGAAAGGATGGTTGGCAGAAATTCCAAAAGTGCTTTTGGATTCCTTTGGGTGCCTGGGGAAGGGGAGAAAAGGAAGTCTCTAAAATGAGAAGTTAGTCATGGGGCAAGCAACACAATCCCTCTGTTTTTTGCAAATTGTTTGCAGAAAACCATATACATGCACACCAAGTTCTGACTATTCGTTACATAGGCAACCTTCTATTATTGTCCAAAGTTCTAGGACATCTGGTTACATTTCTGTACTGAATTGTTGACAAAGCATCACAGTTTGGCAACAAAAACAGTAATTTTAAAAAGTAAATTTTTAAAGAGAAACAGAGGGACCAACAGGTGGCATGGTGGTTAACCACCACATGGCTGACCTCAGTTTGAGTCCCAGACCTGGCAGCTTGCTTTCTCATTCTCCCTCTTTCTCTTTGTCTCTTTCTGGTGAGTGCACCTGCCTAGGGCAAATTAAATAACAATAATAAATAAAGTCAAATAATTCTAAAACATAAATAAAATACTATTTTATAAAGAGGAAGAAACAGAAGATAGGAACGTTATTCTTTACTTGCATCTCTACAGGACCTTTAAAGACCTTTATAAACACTGCTCGCACCGCTCTGCACACTGCAGTCTTTGCCACCTCACATCTGTCCCAG